TCTATAGTTTGTAAGTTTAGTTTTGCCATTTTTTTATCAAATTCTGAATGTGTGTCTTGAGAGAACTCTAAACTTCAATTTTTGTACGATCATAACAATTTTTCGAATTTTTTCCCTCCATATTTAATCTTCCATTTTGGTTTTTTGAGTTTTGAAACTTTTTTTAAAATTAAAATCCTAATATGTGTCCTAAAAGAACCCTAGAAACCAATTTCTGTACGATTAAAAACCTTTTTGACCATTTTGTCCGCCATATTGGATCTGCCATTTTGCTTTTTTCAATTTTTTATGAAATTCTTAACCAGTGGCCTCAAAACGTAGTTGTTACAAAATGTCAGACAAATCGAACTAAGCTTTCTTATATTGGCCAGCTTTTTCGAGATCTAATCCACTGTGCGGCGCCGCTCTTGATCGAGTTTCTCGAACGAGGAAACCTCTCCGCGGGCGAGTCGATAAGGAGCTCCGCCCGCTTACGGTGAGCAGGTGCTCAGGAAAGCGGCCCCACGGGCGAGGCCGCACGGCGACGCGAATAGGGAGTTTTAGCGCCACGCGGTTTAGGTGGCGTCGTTATGCACTAGAAGACACGTGACACGCGACATAACACGATCATAAGGAACGACGTTGAAATGAGTTTTAGCAAACACAACATTCCCTATAGCTCGCTTATACTTTAAAACAAAATACGTATTTTAAGCGTATTTCAAAGAAGATGCATACTATTTCAAAGAGTTAAGCAACTGGTGACGGAAGACCAGTCTCTTTCTCTTTGCTTAAGAACTTCTGACTGTGCAGAACACGTGCGGGCAAATGGTGAGGAGCTGAAGAAATGTGATTGCAAGGCACACCATTACATTATTAACAGGTATTATATTATTATTATTATTATTATTATATTTATTTTTTAAATGCTACATATTCTACATAATATATTATTACAGGTCTAGAAAATAAAATCTCGCAAGAAACTTTACATTTTCTTGCCTTGTGCGATGACAAAGAAGCATTCGAAGATTGTGAAGTGGCTTTGCTGCAAAATATTCAAAATAGCGTGCGAAATATACATAAGGTATATGATCGTTTAGATTTACGAACGTTAGATCCTGAAGAATGCACCCTCATCTTCAGGTTTGAGAAGGAGCATTTACCAAGATTAGCGGCAGCATTGAGTCTCCCTTCAGAGATACGAACCAGAAACCGACATAGCATAGGAGGTAAATTATTAGTTTAGCTAATTACATTAACGAATTTCCGTTATATATCGTGTATGGTACTTCTAATTGCAGGTGTAGAAGCATTGTGCATCCTCCTTCGCCGATTGGCGTACCCCAATCGATTAACTGATTTGGTAAATTATTACGGCATTTCATCCACTTACATATCATATGTAAAAATGTGATGAATGTGATTTTGTAACAAATGAGGAATTGCTATCGATATTCCAATCGAATTATTGGCTTCACAAAGAGAAAATTGAATATTACGCACAGGTAAGAATCGTGATAGTTCATCTTCATACCTAAAAGATTTTTATATTCTCACACTGTGCGGTACAATTTTATGTTCAGGCTATTGCTGCAAAAGAGTGTTCTAATTGCTGGGGATTTATAGATGGTACTGCTAGAGCTATTTGCAGACCATCTATTAATCAAGAAAGCTACTACTCTGGCCACAAAAGAAAGCATTGCCTGAAGTATCAATCAGTATTGTGCCCAGATGGCATTATTGACTATCTTTCAGGGCCCTTTCCATGGCAGCAGACATGATGCAGGTGAACATAAATGAATTATGAATTTAATAAGAATATTTTATTCCAAATTTTATAGGTACTGTAGTGAAATTTTCTTTCATTTAGCAATGCTACGGGATTCTGGATTATACGATCAGTTGCTGCAAACTGCAGTGTTCCCGGACAAGAAGTATGTTATATATGGGGACAGTGGGTACCCAATAAGGCAGTTACCATTTCAAGGAAGTAACATTTATGAGGATCAGCAAGCATTCAATGTTGCTATGAGTGCACTTCGGCAATCTGCAGAATGCGGATTAGCCAAAGTTGTTAATGATTTTTCCTTCATCGTCTTCAAGAAAAATCAGAAGCTCTTGGTGCAAGATGTAGGCAGCTTGTACAAAACAGCAGTTCTTCTTAGTAACTGCCATACTTGCCTTTATGGTAGTCAAGATGGTAGTTTTCTTAACACACAACCCCCCTCACTTGAAGAATATTTAAATGTATAGTATTTTGACTAAATATTGAAATGTTTCAAATCCACATTTTGTTTAATGTTAGGGTTCTTTAATTATGCATGTAATAAATATAGAATTTCGACCTTCTGTGTCAGTGGCCCCATCTCGATCCGGTTTTTCTCGTTTCCCTGATTCATTGAGTTAAAGCTGAGATGGATCCTTGTTTTAGTTTTTTTTAATTTTAAGTATCAAGAAATGAAATTGTATTTCATGATTCAATTAAATTTTACTACAAGTGAATATTTTGTATCTAATAAAAATTCTTACCTTCAGTTTAATAGTTGTAAAAGGCAGGGATTGCGGAGCCCAAGCACAGAACGCACTTCTTTGTATTAATTTATTTATCATTAGAAACTAATGACAGTATTTTGAATCTTGTTTTGCTTACCACCTCCTGTTTATCTTCAATTATAATAGTACATTATCCTACTGTAAAAATTATTTTAGCTATTTAATATTTGAAAGGAAAATCAACTTTATGTTTTAAGCAAATATAACTTTAATTATATCGTTGGTGAGGTAGATACCTTCTATTATTTAAGTATGATAACTAAAAGATGTCTTTTCAATTTATATGGTTGATAATTGTTTCGCTCGCCTAGCGATCATCCTCAGAGCTTGCAGCTTCCGGGCTAGAAACAAAATTCTCTAGAACTTTGTTTTCTGCCTGGAAGCTGCAATTTTCTTTCCGGAAGCTGTGATTATTTTCCTTACACACGACTCTGTTCTCTTGATTATTTATTTACACTGTTCACTTCTTCTACACTTTCGCACAGTCCGATGCACTATCCACGGTCCACCGCGCAGACCACAATTCACTGCGCTGACCACAATTCACTGCGCAGACCATAATCCACCGCGCAGACCACACGTCACTGCGCAGACCACACTTCAGGCTGCTCTTCACATACTGCACCACTGTCTACCGCAATGCACACTTCACAGCTCAACTTTCACTTGAGTCTTCAGCCAGACTGCATACTCGGACTGCTTACTCACTGAGCTCATTTTATATAAAAAAAGGACATGCCCTACATAAATGCAAATTTTAGAAACCAAGCCAATATCTTTGTTCCTTCCACCCAGAATATTAGAGCAAGCTATCAACTAGCGTGAGGCTCATTACCATTTTATGATCTTATATTGATATGCAACTAACCTAACCACACACACACGGTATTTGCTTTCATACCTCAATTATTAAATTTCAATTATTTACATTAATTATTTTCTCTCTGTTTCTTTGTAATATTAAAGTAAATTTGAGATACTAATGAGAGGAAGACTAGTTTGATAATGATATTAAGACCCAAACAATTAATATATTTTTTGCCTTATTTGCATAAAACAAAAAACTAACGCTACATGAAATACACAATACTATACAAAAAACTAATACTATGTGAAACTACCACTAATAAAATTAATGAATCAAACATACAAACAAAAATATGAAATGAAAACTAACTAATCACTTCATATGAAACATTGAACTTAAAAACAAATACACACAAAAATAAAATACTAACTACTTCTTTTTAGCAGTTGTTCTATCACTTTCATTTGCGATTGCAACATATTTACATCGCACTCATTTCTTCCTAATGCCTGTCCTCTTTCTAGCAGTTCAATTTCAAGTTATATTTATTATTTTTAATTATATATTGTATATTATTATTAATTATATATTATTCAAGTTATAGTTATCTATTTTTAATTTTCTCCAAACCTACTTTTCTTCTTCGAGTTTTATTTTCTTTTTTTCAAAATGAATTCTCGCGTTCCTGAATTACTTTCCTCCTTCTAGCAAGCTTGAAACTCGGAGTTACAACTGCAGCGTTCTACACCTCTGTTTCATTGCCATTTTCTGTTTGTATCACTTCAGGTTCTGCAGAATTTACTGTTTCCTCAATTTGTGGTGTACTTAAAATAACTTCAATCGGTATAAGGGGCACTTTATTTGCACTACTCTCTGCTTCTCCACCTTCAAATTGAGCTCTTCGCAACAAATTTACTGCCTCTTCTCTTGCTTCCTCACCTAGTCGCCTATCCCTTTCCACATTCCTGGGAGCGGCTCTTCCAGTTTCTGGGAAACTGGTATGCATATCATTCAATTCTTGGAGCAGTATCATCAGCTCAGTCAAAGATGGCTCCACACCTGACCTGTTACACAGAAAATATTTTGTTGTAATTAAATAAAATTCACCTTTAGAAATTGTTCAACTCAATCATAGAAATATACAAAATAATTTTGCTCACCTTCCTCGATTTCCTCTCTCTGCAGTATTCCATTTTTTCAGCATTCCTATGAGATGACTTTTTACTGTGCGTGTGCTGAATGCTTTGTTTGTCACCCTTCCAACATTTTCTGCCAATGTATTCCATTGATCAGGATGTTGGAAGGGGTTAAAACACACAGCTTCGCGTAACAGAATTAACTCTCCAGCATTACTACGCCTCAATCGCTCGCTGCTGGCAACCATTTTGTCTGTTTCGTTGACAGGTTAACGACGACCTTAGCGCGTGCACTATGAGTTTAGGAATAGAGTCGTTCCTAACGCGAAGGGTAAGACGTTACAGCTGTAAGGTCCGTCACGTGACTTGCAGCGCATAACGACGCCACCTAAGACGTGGCGCTATGCACTACGCTTAAACTCTCTAAAGACAGGGCGCTCCCTCGCAACGTTAGAGACTTTTTGCTCATTGGTAACACCTTGGTTCTGGTGTTTATTTGTACAAATAAAAATATATTCGAATGGCGAGATTCAAAAAACCTTTTTTGCGTTAGTCCTAGAGAAGTCGATGAATGAATTTATGTGTTAACAAGTAAATGTTATATCATGTAGTCAGAAACAAAGTTCATAAATGCTAACTACAGTAGTGCTTACTTCCGACTACTAGTGCATACTCACACTGACGAACTGAATTAGACTGCTGACTGATTCTCTGTCTGCTACTGCCTGACTACTACGCAAGAGTGCGGCCGCCGGCAGCGGCAAATTCATACCTGTCCGGCGCCCGTCTCGACACATCCGGCCCTTGCTCCACATTTCTACGCGACTCGCGAATAGCCCGAAACCGTCCAGTGCGGGGAAGAGCAACGGTAGATGACGCAATCCGTTCAGCAAATCCCATCAGATGATGCAATATTCGATACAGTATTAAAAAATATAAACAAATATCTATTTCAATTAAATTAATAATTAATTTGAGGCACATTCTAGAACCTAAAATGTTATAAATCAAGCACTGTGTATATACATATATACTATTATATCTACATGCGTACTTACGTGCGTTTACACATATATTTATATACACCTACATACATATAAACAAATACTTACCCACATATCTGCGCATATTCATTGCATATTCATATATACGATTATGAGCAAAATATACTGAAAGCAATTACTGATTACGTATCAATGTAACGTAATTAACAACGTGAATAGTACCTACTAAACAGTTTAAAGTAGAAAATAGCATATCAAACTAGTAGTGCTACAGAATGGCACAGACTTTCCCTATTTGTTTTCTATTTTCTTGATCTCGGCAAGCTATACGATCTTGCCATATACTCTTGGCAGGTGCCATCAAACGCCACCCAAACTACATTTTAAAAAATCTTAATTTTTCTGTTTTCTAATACTAGAATAGAAATATTACTTCATGAATATTAAAGTACAATATAACCTCGTCCTAAATGGTACTTTCCTTTGAAAAAGTAAGAGTTGTTTTTAAGAAAATCGCGCTTAAGTAAATCGCTACTGCAAATTCGAAATTTAAAGCTCTTTTTCTCGGAAAATGTTTGACTTTTCGAAAAACTTCAATTGAAATAATTTTCAAGCACATTAACTCACAACTACAACAGTGTTTACAAATTGCAGGAAATGTGCACATTAAAGGCGTGAGAGATCTTTCAAACAAATTACATTTCCTTTTTTTGTTTGTTTTTGCTATTTCAGGTCGCATCAACTTCCAGGTCATTAGCAACCACTATTGCTTGTAACCGTATGGTAACTGTGAGGGTGACACGATATAAAAAGAAGAGGGAGAAAGGTCGAACACAATACAATCATACCCGAAGCGGGACTCGAACCTGCGATCCTTCGGTCCGAGATCACTACAGCACTACTGCCTTAGCGATCTCGGTCACCGGATCGGCATATTACATTCGTGTAACTTTCGAAAAAACAAAAAAATACCCTGAAATATATTCAAGGTTTTCAGCGCAGATGACCGTGGACAGCGCATCGGACTGTGCGATAGTGTAGAAGAAGTGAACAGTGTAAATAAATAATCAGAAGTAGGGAACAGTGTAAATAAAAATAATCAAGTCGACAGAGTTGTGTGTAAGGAAATTAATAAAATGAAGAACACAAAGACTGCGTAATTTATCTGTAAATGAGTCAAGTATTTTTAGTGTAGAATTGTTAACAAAATAAACGTTTTCGTTAAAATATTACTTGTGTTATTTTTAATTGACCACGGAGAAACGTTACAACAATTACAAACGTTACAATTTCCGTGGGAGCGGGACGCCGCGCCGTTTCGTCACATTCCGCCAGAAATCAAGCAATAAGTGCGAGATTAGCTGTCTGTGGAGAACGAGGGCTGTGTTACCTCAAGGACCAAATAGAGCACTTTCGTTCGCCCAATGGGCGCCGTGACTTGCAGCGCTGCAGGGAGGCACGGAGGGAAACGAGGGGAACCCCGGAGTGGACTTGAGCAAACGCCCGGTTTCCTCGCAATGAAGTGCCAAGACCGTACTGTGTAGTTCTGGGAGGTGGAATTGCGCAATTTGTGGGGCAACATTAACGTTTCAGATATTGATGTCAGTTTCTGCTAAATGGCAGAAATGTTCCTATCAAAATGTGTCACAAGAATTACTATCCCACGATATAATTTTTGTGCCATTTTAACATTTTAAATTTATTATTTTTGCATAGAATTGGTGACGTAACGGCGCCCACGATGAAGCACTTACAATGACCTATTTACAAAACAAAGTTGCCAAAAATCTCCAGATAAACAAAGTTGTCTGAAACAGCCTGCGATTGAATGGGGTAATAAGTGACAAACAGCATTATCACATTCATTAATTGGTGACTAACAATCGATTACAAATGAGGGAAACCATGGACCACTGCCAATCACATCAGCTGACTACTATAATTTAGGTTCAACATTTTGCTTAATTCAAATTGTATATATTAAAATAACGCTTACATTAGACTTGTGAAATTCTTCAAAAACCGTCTCTATTCTAAAATTTAGAACTATTACATTTTAAGAAGGAAAGTCTCATGATATTTCTAACAATTTTAAGTGAGAATACCACAAAATAATTACAAAATATCTGCAATTTAGATTGAAATATACTGTCACCGATCTCTCTCTCTCTCTCTCTCTCTCTCTCTCTCTCTCTCTCTCTCTCTCTCTCTCTCTCTCTCTCGCTATCTCTCGCTATCTCTCTGTCCATTCTCTTCTCTCTTCATTCTCTTCTCTCTCCATTCTTTTATCGTTTGAATTGTAAAACAAAATTTCCCCACATCTGTTATCTGCGGTCTTAAATTTATTTTGTGCCTGTGACCCCCCCTACCGATGTATGTAGGAATACTTAGCCGCCGATTAATTTCTTTCCAAGCTACATGTCCGCGACATACAAGCTTTATACAAAGCGCAGAGCATTGCTACTGATCGTCTATTTTCGAGTGAATGCCATTTTGCCCGAGTGAATTGCCATTTTGAATGCATTTCCTTGTCCCTGAATGTAAATTTTGCTGCCCTACGCTGAATTCTTTCTAAATTTTTACCCTGCATAATTTTGTGTGGATCCCAACAAATTGATCCATATTCCATTATCGGACGAACAAGCAATAAATAAGCAATTTCCTTCGCCTTTGACGTACTCTTTTTTAAGGTGCGCATTAAAAAGTGAAGAGATCTCTAGGCTTTCCCTACAAGTAATCTACGTAACTTTTCCAGCTTAACTTACTATCGAAATGGATTCCTAGGTACGTGCATGAGGAAACTATAGGAATAATGGCTTTATTTAATCATTAATTTGTTTCTCTGTAATTATGACCCTTGCCAAAAGTGATGGATTGGCTCTTGGAGCTATTTATGGTCATTCCATTTTTTTCGCCCAGCAATGTAACGCATCAAGTGCCCGTTGCAGCATTTCTTCTTTCGAATTCCTACTATAATGTATTATGCAATCGTCTGCAAATAGTCGAACACTTGAGATTAAGGACGCTGGCAGATCATTGACAAACGCTAGAAATAGAAGAGGTCCAATGACACTCCCCTGCGGTATTCCTGACGTAACGCTTCCGTTTCGCTTTTAATGCTAATCGCGGGGGACGAACCATTAAACGATGCTGAATTCATTAATTTCGTATGTAGAAAGCCGAACGTGGTGGGGGATGACATCAACGCTTTGGGAAATTCTATACACTATTGCGTTACTCTCGCCAGACGGGTCGAAGTTCCCTCTAGATCCTGAAGTAGCGGGGCTACCCGACTTTTACATGAATAACCACTTCTGAAGCCGTGTTGGGCATCATAGAGCCATTTTTTGATTTCCCATTCTTGCTTAACTGTAACTGGCAACTAAATGTAACTGGCAACTATATATCCAATAAGTTTGCTGACCATTGACGTAAGACTTACCGGCCTATAATTACTTAGTATAGTTTTGTCGCCACTTTTAGAAATTGGTACGACAAAAGCTAATTTCCAATGTTCAGGTACTTTAGAATTGTTCATGGATACGTGAAATATTCCAATTAGGTACGGTAATATTGCCTCTCCTTCTAGTTTAATTATGCCCGAAGAATTGTCATCTGGACCCATTCACTTACCATTTTTCATTGATTTAACTTTGTTCCGTAGAACGTTCACTTCAATATCAAACTGATTTGTAACCGAAGACTCGTGAATTAATGAATGGTTTGTATAGCTTTTGAAAATCGAACTGAAATACTTATTAAACGCTTTAGCTTTTGCCCGATCGTTAGAAATGAGCGT